TCCTAGTAAATATAAGTTTTAGTTCCTATATAACTTGTTAGTATCGAATTTCAAAACTGTTAAGCATGTTTGAGATTTAAACTCATTTTCTGAAGGGATCCATATATGTGGGGTGGAAAAAGGGCTTTCTATGAGGGCGGGGTGTCTAAAAAGAATAATGTCTCAGTACATAAATCTAACTTATGCCAAAATTCAGCACATTTGCTGCTTAATTAACAGATTTATGATGGTTTAAACTATACTTCGGAGGGCCACTTGTATAGGGGCTATGCGAAATCGTGGACCGATAAGTTTAAGTGAATTTTGGACTCATTCAAACTATATTCAATAGAGCCCATATTGATTTAATCAAATGTTATTTAATAACAGCATGTAATTCAAGTTTAGAATATAAGGTAGGTGTCGGGTTCCTGACTGCAGTAAAAGTAAAACGGTTTGATAATAGATTTGCAAAATATCGAAAGTACAGCTTCTTTAAAGTCTACTCTATACTTATTTAACACCAAAAAGCTAGATTCTAGAATAACAAGTGTATCTGAGAAATGCATTTCGAAAACAAACATATTTCTTTATACATACGTACATATGTATATGTTAAGTTTTGTATGTGTGTGTTTAGTTGTGCGATATGGTGTTTATGGGCATTTGAATTAGACTGTAACGGTCGGTCAGTTATAATTCATGTTTCAGTTTTATGTTAGTTTTTTGTTGTTGTTGTTGCTGGTCTTTATGATGATGTCGTTCGTTGCTGTCGTCGTTGTTGGAATCAAATTGCACATAATCGTCCATTTCTTGTCGCATCATGTTTAGCAAGTATTAGTTAGTATTATTATGTTTCTTCTTTCTTCCACATCTTACAAAAAGACATACATTCATGCATCCAATTTTACTCTATACATATTTACAATATAATATATATTTGTTGCATGTTTGTATCTCTGTACATTGAGAGATACATACATATGTACATATGTATGTAACTACATGTATTATATTGTTTATCATTGACTTGAAAGTATGACATTTAATTCCATCCGATTTCTTCTAATGCATTTACAGATTACTTTTTTCACACATGCTTGAGTTCACATCAGATGCGTCGTTCATTATTTTTTATTCGCAACCCTCTCAAACGGCTGACACTTTTTTTCTACTTTTTTTTCTTCAAATTCAATTGTTGCCATGTCTAATGTAGTTGCAACACGTATTTAACTTTTTGTACGTTTTCATTTCTTGCTACTTTCGTTAAGAGTAGAAAAATAAAAAAAAAGTTGTGAAAAAAGAGTAGAAGTTAGTAGACAAATGTGTCAAACAGTCATTGTTTTTACTTGTAAATATTGTTTCTTTGTTCAAATTCAATTTTAGTTAAAACAAACAACAGCAACATTCATTTTCTACAAATTACATTTAGGTCTACTTAAAATATTAATTTCTCTTCTTTGTTTTCTAGTTGGATGGGATTTTTATGTTTTATTTCTTTTTTTTCAAATTACAAAAAATTACAAATTTTACTAGCAGTACATATTTAATCTCCTTTGTCAGTCGTCTACATAAAGTGGGTCATAGTTGGTATTAGGGTCTGTCCATATGTCCGTCTGTTGTATTTTTAGTTTTATTTACACTGTAGCATCGATATGAATTCACCTGTTTTTTAAAAGCTTTTTATTGTAATCTTATTACGATAAGAAATAGTAAAAAAAAAATTACATACACATTGCTAGAAAAGTTAACAATTATAGAGGACATTTTGTTAATTGAAACATATACAAATGTACGTACATATGTATGTAATATAATGTATTATTTTTTTTAATATTATTTTTGTACAATATTTTGTTGCCATACTTAAGCCATTTATGTATTTTTGTCGTCTACCCAGATGTAATTACAATGAATTTGTCTGTAAGATACATTTGGCGGTAGATACATATCAGAGATGGAAAATTCGGAATGACTTTACTTAAGCTTATGATTTAACACACATAATTAGTGGTGTACCAGAAGATTATGTGTTTGTATATTAATGTTTGGATCGTAATACTGGGTCTAATTTTTCTTCTCGTAAAATTCTTAGTTCAGTTTGTAGTAAAAGTGTCAGGACTACTATTAAAAACTTCAACGTCAATGTTAGAATACCACCCACTTAATAGTCTTCTTTTCCATGGTGACATGATCTCAAATCGGACAAGAAATATAAAGAAACTCTGTGCGGTTAAAAAATAGGTAGATCTCCTTTTTGTGGACTCTTCGTTATAGATATTTCTGAGTTTACCGCGCCTGATGTCTCGAATCATTGGCTTCTTATGTCACAGCTGGCAATGGCTTGCAGTACAAGAAACAACTAAGAGAATTTTTTCGTCCATCAGCCGTTTAAAAATCTTGACCCGGAAGTTGTAAAAAGTCTTCCAGTACATACGTTTCATCATCCATCACACAACAATTATATTTTTTATAAAATTAGACTTAAATTTTTTGCTTTTAAGTTCTTTACCGAATTGATCTGGAACTTTCTGAACTTTATACGACTTCACTCCATCATTAGCTTTGGTTCTGTGCACAAAAGAATCAGAGAATTTAACTTTACGAGCAGCTTTTCTAATGAAAGTCTTTGGCGCTCTTTGAAAAAGTTGTTCGACTTATTTTCCCTTATCAACATCTGTTTGAACTCTTTCTTCCCGATCCTGGTTTTCATTCAATGATCTAGTCTCCCAGCAAAAACTTAAATTAAAAATTAATAGGTTAAAATGCTAAAATTTCCATAGACAATAGCATTCTAAGCATTATTAACACCGAGATGACATTGGAGTCAAGTAATTACCACGCTCGCTTACAAATAGGGAGTTAAGTAAGTACTTATTACGATAACCTGAAAATAGTGAGCTGAGTAAGTAGTTTCTGAGAAAAAAATTGCCTACGAGGATACGTCCACTGCCTCTATTAACAATACGTCAAGGCTAAAAAAGTAAGTACTTACATAATATATTATTTGTAAGTCATTACTCCTCCTTCTAAGTAATGCAGACGGTATATAGCAGTCATTGAAAAGTAAGTTGATGAGTAAGTACAAGTCATTTCCATGTTCTTTTACTGGGCTTCTTTATACTGTTTTATGTTTTTGAAATAGTGTGTCGATAAACCTTCATATTTTTTGCAATTTTTATGAAAGTCCATATAGGACTTGAAAGGTTTTAAGGAGACCAATGAGAGTTGCATGGTTTCCAAATTTTCAATGCCCAGTGATAACTGATAAAAGAGTGCTGAGATGCGTTCTACTGAGACCTATTAGAAAGGATGTTCTATGAAGATCCATTCGAGGCCACAGCGTACTTGCAATCGAGCAAGTATGCTCATGAGACCAGTGGTCTTTTGCTAAACCATAACATGTAGCATATATGAGTTTCTTAATGGCAGATAGTGGAACATGACCGAATTGGTCTATATCCAGCGTAGCCATTCTCGTCCCAGTTTTCGCCAAAGTATCAGCAATATTGTTGCCTTTTTGTGTCCCAGTGTCCTTTGACCCAAACAAAGGTAATTGTTGAATGTCCCGCCATCTCATTAAGAGACGCCCGGCATTCTTGGACAAGCCTTGATGTAGAATATACACCGATCAGGGATTTAATGGCGGCTTTATCTCTGTTAGATATCTGATAGTACCTAAGCTAATTTAATGTCCTTTTTATCGCCGAAATTTCAGCTTGTAAGATAGTGCACTCATAATTGAGTAAGATTTAAGGATTAAGAAATGAGTAAATCGTTCGCAACCATGATTACGCCCCTGTTACAGGCACGTAATAATCTATGATTTCAGATAACATGATAATCGTGTTATCAGATTATTGATAGGAACAGGGATTTAACCTTTAGAGTTCTTCTTGTGGGGTGCCATTATTCGTAAGATAGAAAATATCAACAAAGTCTTAAAGAGTCCCACCCGGGCTGATTCAGAGGACTCAAAGTAAGGGGGATATGAAAAATTTAAGCCGATTAAACTACACAGAGGGAAAAAGAAATATACACGCCTGGTACCAAATTGACACCAACGAGTTTATAATTTTTCAATAACATCTGTTGTCAAAGTATATATATACATACGTAAGACAACTCAACGTTGCATTGTCAACATTGCAACAATTCGTTGTCGAAATCTAAATTTTATACACATCCGTTGTCTAAATGTAAGCTCAATATAGGCAACGGATTGTTTGTCACTAATGAGCTTACCACGTTTGTTAACATTTAGACAACGGATGTGTATAAAATTTAGATTTCGACAACGAATTGTTGAAATGTTGTCAGCTTTACATAATGTTGTCGTACGTATGTATATACTTTGACAACGGATAGTATTGAAAAATTATAAACAGTTTGGTGTCAATTATATACCTATATACCTCTGTGTATAAATGAAATATACTAACCATACAGATTTATTTTCTATTTTTTACAATATTCCTCCACTATGTACTTGAAGTATTTTCTATATTTCAATTAAACAGTATTAAATAATAAATCTTCTTTTATAAGACTTTAGAATATTGTATTTCCCATAATACATAGTTTATTACTTTTGTAGGCAAATTGTCAGTAAATAATTCTTATAATATTTATATTCTAATTAAATTTGAAAAGCAAAGTAGTCGTTATTTTGACGACTTTACAATTTGTGTAATGTTACAACAAACTGCACTACAATTTAGTTGGTTAGTAATCATGCTTAGAACGTAAAATTTTTATTACTTTTTTTAAAGACTTATTAAATATAAAATTTATTATTTGTTTAATGCGATTTGCAAATTATTATTTTTTATTTATGTGATTTCAGATTTTGTTCTTTTTATAATAAAAACTACATACAACCAGGAAGTATTTTTTTTAAAATTCAAAATAGTTTTATATGTATTGCCTCCTTATTTTGGTTAAAAAAAGTTTCAAAATTATTATCGATTTTCTAAAGTTTTGTCGGAGTCAAATTTATATTAGATTATTTTAAAACTTACCTTAACCCGTTTTATTTTGTCTGGAAAGAAATAACAATGAAAAAATACATGATATTATTTTTCTATTATAGAAATGGCGGCAAAAATTGCTGTTAGATTTTAATATTAGATTAAAGTAAGTATTAGTTTTCATAAGATTTTCACAGTCTTACACACATATTTACATACATATCTATTTGATACGGTTTAATAGGTATAAAGATCCAACAATATCCCAAGGTAGATTAGTAAAATGGATACAGAAAAAAAATCATGCTTCAATTATGACAAGGAATTTAATTATACCCAATACATTTACATTGTCAGTTACATACATACATTTAACATATATGTACACTAAAATATTACAGTAAAATATATTCCAATGTTTTTTTCCAAGAAATATTAGAAATATTTACAGTGGGCCAGAAATATATGTAGACAATTTCACATACACTCCTATCGCCAACCAAAATTTTAGGTGCAATAGTTCCTTTTTCACTTTTTTCATTCACGAGTTTTTTTGTCATAAAAAGTATTTTCTGTTTTGAAATTTTTTGATGAAATTGTTTAAAGAATAACCAGCTATTGTGAATAAAATCTCCTATTGAGAATGAAATATTCACGATAGCAATTTTCGAGGTGAATGAAAATTTCAAGTTAGTTAGTCTGAAAGGAGGATATATGTATATCCGAAGTAATACTCCTAGACCTCCATAGGGCCTATTATACTATTCTTCACCAGTGTTTCTGATGGGAATCGAAACCTCGACCATCGATATAACAGACTAGAATGCTAATCCACCGGAGGCACAAAAAGGCATGAGTTAACGAAATTTTAACTTCTATTGGCGATAAAAAAAACACAAATCCAACACAAACAAGTTTTTAAGGTCTGAACGCATTTAAGTGCTTACTTTCTAATTTACAGAGCTCATGATTTAGAAAGAGATTTTATTTATTATATTCTCTCATTTGCAATTAAACGATTATTATCTTATACTTGTTCTAAGAGCTTTCAAATATGACCAAAATTTTTCCACAATTTCGTAGCCACCTTCTCTAGAGAATAAAATTTTCTCAGCAGATGTTGCGGCATCGAAAATATTATTGTTACACACTGTAACCAAAAGAAAGAAAATTATAGATATTATACATATTTTAGATATAATTCATAAAAGTGACTTAAATATTACATATATCAATCAATTTAGATGTAAGTAAACATCATAAACATTTGTGTATTTAACTTGTATGCAACATAATCGAAAATAAATACTTTAAGCTTTTAAAGATGAATTCTTTATCCAGCCAAACATTTATACATTATTTTATTCATTCATCTATATATACAGCCTTGTGTAACGTTCTGCCTTTAAGAGTTTGGTAACACCCAAAGAGATAAAGTCAGTGAATTAAATGAATAAATAAATAAATGAGTAAGTGAATGAATAAACGAACGAACAAGTGAATGAATGAAGGTAAAAAGAAGCTGTAGAGTAAATTCCTTAAATACGTTTATCCAGCCGAATGCCATTCGAGCGAAACAGCCAGCCAGCCCTCCATCCACCCTTTAATGTTGCTCCCTTTTAGCCTATAGCCTGTGTGTAAGAGTTTTCACTTAAACAAGAAATATTTTTTAAGATAATCTCAAAGAAGGCAGGAAGTGAGGCATATCATATTTTTGTAACTCACCCCCGTCAACCGAACAGACATTGTCGAACATAGCGGCTGACTGACTGACTGACTGCCGGAGTTTATGTATTGTAAACTGAATGGACAAAGTTGCATGCAAACAAGAAACATGAAAGAAAAAACGAAAAAAAAAAACAACAACTCATTCCGATTATGAAGACTAAAGCACAACAATGCCAAATCCAGAACTTTAAAAGTGTTATTACTTTGAGAAAAATGCTTTAACTTTTCAAAGGTTATAACAAAAATAAGAACAAAATTTTGTTACTCTCATACCCACTAACTCAATGTCTGGTTATATTTTATCGTAAGGTCAATTTTCATACAAAATTTAAATGGCAGAATATCTACAAGTTAAACGATAACCGGGGGTGGAGTTAACGGGGCTCTGAATTTATAATTTTCTCAATTGTGTGTCATCATGGAAAAATAGTCCCCGATTTAAAAGTTTAAATAGTTTAAAGTTTCCCTTTTAAGGACTGCGTCAGATAAAAGTTATACACACTTTTTTAGCCAAAACTTATCCTTGGTCCAACATATTATATTTTTTTGATCCCATTAGCTTTACGTTAGGTTAGGTTGATAGGATGATGTATACTACATCAAATCCGAAGAATTACACCTAGGCCACTATCGGGCCTGTTGTGCGCTCCATCTCATGAAAAAAAAAGTTTACTGAATTATTTTTCAGTGTTCCTGAACGTAATTCCTAAGAATCTTCCAATCAGTGTTAGTCAGGAATGCTATTTCCGGAATAACATCACTTCCAAAATACTTGGATCTAACTTCGACGAATGTCTGGCAGTGGCAAAGAAAGTGCTCCAGAGTTTCACTGTCCTCTCCTTTGCCAGATATTTTCTTTTCTAAATCTTTAATTTTAAACTGTTTTTTTTCTAATATATAAACTAATATGGACTCTCATTAAAATCGCAAAATATCTGAAAGTTTATCGTCACAGTATTTCAAAAGACATTAAACAGTATGTATAAAGAAGACTTAAGAACCTAGATCGGGAAGAAAAAAGTTCTAACAGATATTGTTAAGGCAAAAGACTTGTTCGAATTCTTCGAAGAGCACCAAAAGCAGCTCGTAAAGTTAGATGGTCTGATTCTTTTGTGAGCAGATCGCAATTCGGTAATGAACTTTGAGATTAAATACACTTGTTGTGTGATAGATGATGAAACTTATGTACTGGGAGACTTTTCACAACTTCTGGGTCTAGATTTTTTAATCGGCTGATAAAACGAGCTAATGTTGAAGAATAATACCGGACAAACAAAATTACCCAAGATGTTTCCATTTCCTGTGGTGCCAAAAGAGCCATTTGTGACATCAGGATCGATAAACACAGAAATATCTATTACGAAGTATCTGAAAAAGAGGGTTTTACTATCTTTAAAACGCTTAGAGTGTCTTCATATTTCTGGTCCGATTTGTCAAGATGCCACTATGGAAAACAGACTCTTAAGTTGTATTCAAACAAAAATTACGATTTGGTACCACGAGAGGCAAATCCACAAAACTGTTCAAAAGTTCGACCAGTGGAAAAGTATTGCGAAAAAGTATTAAAGAACGTCCGAGGACATGTCACACGCGTCAGTGGGCCACCTGTAATGGTAGGATTTTCGAAAAAAGTTAATAAATTTATAAATACCGAGTAATATGTCAATATTATGTGTAGCTTTTGTAAGCCCAGAATCTCATGTCATATTTAATGAATACCTTTGAAATATAAATTTCTCGAGACAATATTTCTTACTTCCGGTTTAGTAATCTACAAATTATGTTCCTCATAGCTTCAACAGCTGTAAGAGTTCATAAACTGGATGTAGAAAACAACCAGAAGTAAAATCTGCCAAAAAAAATCAAAAAGATGAAAGGAGGCAAGTGTAAAACATAATTGAAGCGTTAATATGGAATGAGGTATAATATACAACTACGTTTTAAAATCTTTTAAATAGACTTAATTTTATAAAAGTATACAAATCATGAAAAAAAATTTCTTAAACAATTAATGAAGCAGAGTAAATCACAACTTTAAGGGGGGTGTGGTGGTCAATATAAAGTGAATTAATGACAAACAAATTGATTTTATAATGAAATTATTCTTTGAAAACAAGTAAAAATAAAACAACAACTACTACAAGTCCATGTTGCTGTTTGTTTTATATATTTTTTATTATTGTTGTTGTTGTTGTTGCTGCTGTTGTCGGTGTTGTATGGAATTATAACAGGGATTTTTGTTTCTTCTGGTCTCTTATTTGGCAGGTCGCCTAAATGTCTGGTCTGGTTTAGTAAAATGTTTATTTCATAATGATGTGTTCAGTGGCAACAACAACAAAGTAATATGAGTAGTATTGTAGGTGTGTTTATGTGATTGTGTTTGCCAGTCTTTAAAAGCCCATTTATACTAAACACACATTCATGTGAACACACACAAATATGTTTTTTTTAAGTTATTTAAATAAACATGTAATACAATTAAAGGCAATCAATCATTTAATCAAATATTTTATAAACACAAACACACACACACGACCCCACACACGATTTCAAATGTTTGGATAAATAAGAAATATGGAAAGATCGAACACATATACATATGTGAAAAAGTCAGTGAATATGTATAAGTTTGAATTTGTTTAAACAATTGACTAAATATGTGTATACTTTTTATATTTGTAAAATTTCGGAAAAATAATAACAAAAACCTAATACTTTTACAAGTTTTGATACACCATGGATATTTCGTGTTAAAATTGTCTATGCCAGGACTCTGAAAATATATTGACTTATAAGGAATTTCGTTATTCATAGCTTTAACCAATGTGGAAATCTGAACATTCTCAAACAATTTAACATGACACAAATCCGCAAAAAAGTCAAAATATCACTTACAAAAACTGTTTTAAAATAATACCAAAACTTATAGAAGTACTAGGCATCCTAATAGTTAGTACATTATATATAGATAAAAGTTGTCTATAAAAATATATTCCATTCATTAAATTTTCTCATGTATTTTTTTTTTTTTTTTTTTGTAAAGCGGCAATTCTTCCTCCGGGATGGTTTGGGTATTTAATTTACTTCACATCCATAGATACATACAAATATGTGTTGTTGTGATTTCATTTTTTGTTGTTCATTTAAACTTTTCCTTAATATCATTATAAATTAAAAGCTTTTTACTTAATGACATTGCAGTCAAAAAACTGTGTAAGAGAGTAATTGAAAATTCAAAATCAATTATCGATACTTTGTTATTTATGCAAACATATATACACACATACAAATACTATGTAAATATGTAGGTATTTATGTATATATAAGTAAATATTGTATTAGA